CCCTACTGAATAGAAAATGCTGAGAAAAGCCAGGACACCTGGAAGTGCTGGAGAAAGAGCCCAAACACCTCAAACTTCTGGAAAAGCCAACTCGGGGCTAAGCCGCAATGCAGAACATGCGGCTTTATCTGCAGTAAAGGCCTAAGATGGCCTTTCAATATTAATTCAACATTATTATATTAACACCACAGTGCTATAAAACCCCTGAGGAAGCTGTCTGGACCGATGCAAGCAATCGCACGAATTTATCATGTTAATCAATGCGCCTCCCCTCCTCCAGCCATGACCCTTCTAATACGGATGTGTCCTCAGCGGAGGAGCCCTGGGGACAGCAGCAGCGAGGGACACTGTGGATCACCAATGAGTTTGGTGCCAAGGAGAGGAAGGTGTGCTTGCTGGGGTCTATCTGAAGCCATTCCTTTGGTGGAACAGGAACACTCAGCGCTCAGTTGTGCCCTTTCCTTGCTGCTGTCACATCCCAGCATCCCGGGCTGCAGTTGCTCCATGGTGTGGGAGGAAATGTCACCATGGATGGGGACGCATGTGCATACCCCAGTGTGCCACAGCACCCGCGAGCCATCCCTCCTTACCTTTGTCTCTTTGATCTTGACAGCGATGACTTGCTTGCGCTGACGGATGATCTCCATGAGCTCATCGCACTCCTCCATCAGCTTGGCCTCGTGCATGGCTGTATTCACCTAACCAGGAACAGCAGAAGGTGACGCTGGTGACACTGTTAGAAGGTAACTTGCTTGACTTCAAGCCTGGCAGCTCTAGGGGCTCTTGCAGCTCAGCCTGAGTGGCAAGCAATGGCTTTCCCTTGCTAAGTTCCTGCGGTCCTCCAGACTGAGCTCTAGGTCTGCTGGGCTGCCCAGGAGGACACAGCAGGGCTGCAAAGACCATAGTCAGCCAGTGATTCATCATGACAAAGTCTCAGCGAAAGGGCTACAGGCCAGCTGGGCTAGCATTGCCACCCTGCCTCTGCTCCAACTGCTTGCTCCATTCCAAGCTCTGCAGTGCAATGCAGGGTCCTGGAGAGGGAAGGTCTTTGCTTTCCCAGCCCTGCAGGATGCTCTTGGCAGGATTCAAGGCACACTAGCATCTCGGATGGGGCTTTCCATGCATAGCAAGCTGGGCAGCCCAGTCATGGCACTTTTCTCTTGGTCTGGAGACAAGAGCCATGGGACAACTCTCTGTTGGGGCAAGGGCTCATGTCAGGAGGCCACTCACACAGACATGTCACTTGGATGGGACAGAAAGTGATGCACAAGACTCACCCAACCTTTTTCATGGAGTCCATCTGACCACCTCCACCTCCAGCTACCCTTTATTTCACTTGCTTTTGCCCCGCCACTTGGAAGAGAACAACAGTTGATGCTCTGACTCTTTGGGAGGCCCTGTTTGAGGACACCTTCCACAGATAACTATCTTCCAAAAAAGTACCAGATGCTGCTGACAGCACCCGCTGCTCTGAAAAGCCCGATTACTTTATAGCAGAAACGTTTGGCAATAAGTGAAGCCCAAACATAGCATCTGGGTCTTCAAGCTTTCACCAGCTCGAGGCAAATTGCTTACCAGGTTTGCAGATTGCTTCCTAAACTGGCACAGCATCCCTTAATGGTTTTTGCTATGGATTCACAATGAGGAGGTCCTGGTGATCAAACCCACAACCTCTTCCTTGCACCATTCCCTTCCAACTGTGGTTTCCAGCGGCACAAGATGCAGAGCTCCAGGAGGACCCATACCAGAAGGAGGACGGAGTGAACATCAAATAGTTCTCCCATAATCATATCTATTCATCTTCCAGACTGCCAGTAATATTTCCCTCCTCCTAACCTAATGCCCAGCATTTATGCTTTGGTGACAAGGAAATGTAGCCAGCTACACAGCACAACTGGTCCTTCCTCCAGCCTTGCCTTCCAGAATCACAGCATGGACAGGAAGGACTTGAGCTGGAAGAAGAGGAGGCCTCGTGTAGATCTGGTCATTTGCTTGGGAAGTCCAAGGGGGAACTGAATACAACACAACCAGTCTGGCAGGAGCTTCCCAAAGGTCACCTTCAGGCCCAAGCAGCTATCGCAAACTGTCTCAGACATGCTCTGGCCTCTGTCTCCCTGGGGAAGCATGGTTTTGAGGACAGACCATGCTGCATGGTGACCCCCACCACAACAACAGCTGCTTCTGTTCAGGGACGAGGAGCTCTGCATGCCCTGGCCACCTCGTCCCAGGCTTTACACAGCTTTGGAAGGGAAAGGAGGGGTTGGAGGCCAATCCAGGGTTAAATGGAGATTCATAAAGATCTTTTTTTTAAAGCAGCTCAGCAGATTATGTAACGCTGAAGGGGGGAGACAGCTGATGGAGGTCTGCAAAGATAACTCCACTGAGAAAAAATAGTGGATAATCTCAAGAATCTGCTGTAAGGCAGAGGAGGAGCAAAACTGGGGGTCCTTTAGCAAGCATCATGCTACCCCTTCAACCTGTCTTGTTGTGCAAAACTTCTGGGCTCTGAGTTAAATTAAATCTAAATCAGAAACCTTACCCAGAGCAAGGAATTTCAGCTCTGCCAGCGTTCACGCTCTGGCGCAGAGCTCACATGGGGATAGAGCACAGTCTGAAGCCCTGTCACTTCTCCAGCGCATGGCTGAAACCGCTGAGCATGCAAAGCCTACAACCAACTCTAAATATAAATCCCCGAGATGACCAACTTCCACAGACTGAAGGCGCTGACATACCCAGATACGACCCTCCTCCATCCCTAGCAGGGCCTTGGACTCATTGTATGACCTATAAAAACTGAAGTTTAAAAGTTATAAAAACTAGTGAGCATCACCAGGGTTCTTCAAGGGACATTCTGCCTCCTTCTCCCAACATTGCCTGCAAAACAGCTGCTTGCTCTCTATTGCCCCATATTCACTTTCAATCTGCCAAAATTATTCTTGGCCCCAGAGCTCCAATCCCTTTCTAAGAGACAGAGGGTGAAGATGAAGAGGCAGCTCCCCAGTACAGAAGCGACTCCATGTGCTTCACTGTAGAAGACTTGACACAAGACAGATGCATGCTGCATCACTGCTGCTAGCTTTGTGCACAAGGCATGAAAATTGGTAGCCTGTTAATAAGAAACTAATTACCAGAACTTCTCTCCATGTATCACTTCAGTGGATGAAGCTGCAAATTAACTCACTATTAAATGCTAGGTGCTTTGAAACAACACTGAGGTATTAACTGCCTTCTTCCTCTCGAACAGTTTTCACGATTGCTTATTCCTATGAACTCCCAGCTCTGGCGCTACAGCCAAGAGACAGCGTCAATCTGCTGGCAAACATTTCCCTTGGAAATGCAAACAAGAGATGCCTGACTGCACACTGTGAGCACCAGGAGTTTCATAGATCGAGTGGTCAAAGCAGCAGGGTCATCTGAGTCCCTTTCTTCCATGGGATTAAAGGCGATCCTCTCCCTTCCTCTGATGCGTTCCTGTAATCCCCCATACAAAGCCTTTCCCGCTTGCTGCTGGCTTAAGTCTGAGTGCTGTTCTGCTACAGAAAGCAGATGCTGGAGCAGGAGAGATTGCAATCTCAGTCCTTCTGAGAGCAGGAAGGATGCAGGGAGGCCAACTGTATACTTTGGAGGAGGAAGGAAAGAGAGGGGACGAAGGGAAGAACAGCAGAGCACTGCAACTCAAGCAAGATGTAGACAAAAAGGAGTCAATTTAGCTGACAGAGGAATTAAAAAGAGCACCACCTGCAAGCACAGCACAGGTTGCTGGAGGGAAGAGCAAAATAACTCTCTGCCTGTGTGTATGGTGGACAGGACAGAGAGACACTGGTTTAGACTATAGCAAGAGAGATTCAAATTGAATTTTGGTCCAAAGAAACCTCCTGGCACAAAGCAGTGGGAAGTACCCAATCTCCTGGGAAAAGCACAATGTCTCTGTCAAACATTTAGGATTGGGTGTGACAGATATCTGTCATGAGTGCGACAATGTGCCTTGAGCACCAACATGGAGTGATCTTGTCCAGCCCTCGCCTGTGACTCTGTTTCAAGGGTCACTTCATATAGCATTGGAAAGGCTCCCAGAAGAGCAGGATTAGAGAGGTTCTCCCCAGGGGTCATGACATGGCTATGATCAAATTAAATAGTAAAATACCACCCAATTACACAGCAAAATGGGAAGACATGGCTGGAGGCAATAGCTGGAAGCCTCTCCTTTTACAATAAAGATCTGAGGAACACACTTGTGGTAACTGGTAGGAAAATTAGGGACATGTCAACTGCTTAGGAGGAAACAGAGACTCAAGGGAATCTTGATTTTGCTAACAGGCTTAGTCTCCTCATTATTTTTTTGGGTGCCTTGTAATATAAAGGATGTCTTTCCCCAAAGGACCAGACTCTTCCCAACAACCTGAAGCAGAGAGATCCCACTGCAAAAGCTTCTGCAGGTGCTCAGGCAGATGCATTTTTGACTTTAATTATGTGACCTCCATGGGAGCATGTGAGACTCCCAAGTTCAGGCGGGCAGGAGGATGCACGGGACCTGCTCCACAAACAGTCCCTTCATATCTTCATGGGGGAACTTCTCCCTCATTCCTTCCAGCTTCCAATGAGTTTTCTTTATTGCTGAAGCCTAACTTGCCTCCCTAACAGCTTCCACTGGCGCACCAAAGAAAGAGGACCTTAAGGGAACACCTCAGAAGATCTACCCTGAAGGCCATTACAGGAGGGACAACTCTATTCCTACCTTCTCTAAGAGCATAGTGCTCCGCTTCATGGGGCAGGTGGACTTTGTGCACAGTGTCACCCCAGACTTCAACAAAAAGCACCCTCCTAAACGTGTGCTGTGTGGGGAGCATGGAGCTCTAGCAGGTCTGGAGCCTTCACAGCATTGGCAGAACCATTTGCTGGAGGGAATAGGACATCTCAGAGCAAGGCCAAGCCCTGCTTGTCCTTTCCCTCCCATCCTGATCCACCCCAGCAGCCAATATATCCCTTCCCAATGCTTCCCAGTCACACTGCTTCCTCCTTTCTCCTCCAGCATCTCCAGGGATTTGGGGTATCATCAACGTGTTGGTGTTGGTGATCCCCCCCCACTCCCATCCTTGCTCCTGGGGCAGTCTACACAGAAGGGATGTGGGAGCTCTCCCACACACCTCTCCACCACGATGTGGCACATCTACTCCCATTACAATCCCTTGGCCATCTTCTGACGCCATGACCCATAATCCCTTCATGATGGAGAGAGCTCACTGGAAGGTGTTAGGCAATTCTGGAGTTTCCCCGTGCTCCAAGACCTTCCCCATCACACCCAAGACCTTTCCCCAGAAAGCATCGCTCTCACCAACCTCCACTTGCTGGCAGATCTGTATCAGCTTGGCCATCTGATTTTCCAGCTCGCTGTTACGTTTAACCAGGTTGGTGAGATTCGTCTCCAGGGTTTGCTGCGAGTACAGAAATGGAAGGGAGAGAGAGAAAAAAAAAAGGCATTAAGGACAGAAAGTGCAAAACCAGCAAAATCAGAAGGCTATAACGAATTGGTCACCAACAAATGGGACCATTTGTCATCAAACACATTGCCCAAGGGAGTAAAAACATTGAAACCATTGGGCAAAGGCCTTTGGGCTTCTTGGAAGCTTTTTCTTCGCATGCCTGTGGGTGCCAGTGTGGAGACCTAGTGTCTAGAAGAACAAGGCACCAGGTTGGGCATCTCCCTAACACTTGTGTTGTCCTCTGGTTTGGCCCATTGATGACCTAGGGTGGGCAGTGAAATGCAAGGGAATGGGGGAGTCTTTGGACTCTACAGTCTTGCCGTGGAGATCAACAGCCAGAAGAGAAGAGGGTAGGTGTCTGCCCACTCTTCTGCTTGGACCCTTGCTTTCTTGGGCTCTCTGTTCTGGAGATACCTGGGGAAGCTGCAAAGGTTTTGTGGCTGCAGGAAAGCTGCAGATCTCCCGATTTTCCTGGAAAACTTTATGGGCACTAGGAACAAATATCGATAGCATTTAATTTTCTCAAGCTTTCAAGTCTCAACACACGTTTCCTCCTATTACTCCTACAAACCCAGAATTTCTCCTGTTGATGGGTGCTTTCCAGACACTCAAGGCTAGGAAAACAGCAGTGTCTGACCATTCTCTTCCGACACATCCCACCTTTTTATACCAGTAGAAAAAGCTATTCTGTTTTAATCTCCAGCCAGGAAGTCTGCCTGATAGCAATGAATAGCTTCTATTTTCCATGCCTTCTCTCCCCTCCTCATCCTCTACTGGCCATGGAGATAAAAGGCTCCTGGGAGAAGGTTGTGGTCTCAGTGCCAAAATGTGTGCAGGAAAAAGACACAACCCTCCTCTATGAAATGTGAAGCACAAGGAGAGGGGAAAAAGACAACCGAGTGCATGCAAAGCATTTTTGGGGACCTCCTTCCTAAGGGGAAGGAGAGGGGCATCCAACTGAGTAGAGGGAAAGGAGGCTTGTGCCCAATTTGCAGTCCCTAGTAGGTTGCAGCATGGAGCCTGGGACCCTCTGTGAAGTAGAGCAGCTCGCGAGCCACTTCCTGGCACTGCCTCTTATGCTAAATGCCCATTTATGCAATATTGATGGGGGTGAAGGCGATGAAGCAGAGCTTGGAGCAGCTCAGAAAGATTTTGGTATCTGTGGACACACAGTGGACTTGTATTTGCTGGTATCAATAATTCAAGCGACACTACCTTTCCATTAAAATGCAAGATTCCACTAAGAGGAAATGTTTTAGGACAAAGCGCTTGCTACCTGTTGCAACGCTTGTCATGGAAATGATATCCCATTAATATTTTAAGCTTCGGGGCTAAAAGAGCATCCCTGTGGTGTCTTCTGTGGACTTGGGCAGCCCAAGAAACTCCCAGAGCTTTCATTAAACTGTAAGCACTTTGCACACCCGCACTGCTAACCGTTCTTGCCACTGACTTTGCTTCCAGCTCAGGGTTATTAAACACAATCTGACGAAAGCATCGAACATTTAACGTGCTAATTATCTTCCTCATCGCGACTGAAGCTGCAGCTTTGAAATCGCAGCGGAGCTGCTTTCATGTTCATGGAAGGCAGAAGGAGGAGGGAGAGGGCACGAGCGCTGAGCTGCGCTCTTTGAAGCACAGAGGTCCACAGATGCTCTGATGGGGAAAGCGAGGGTCACCCCTGGATGATCCTAGCAGAAGGCATGCAAGGAAGTCACTTGGATTTGCTTTACTGCAAGCCTGACTTTCCACGTTTTCCTGTGTGCAAAGGCAGCCAAAACTGGAGAGTGTTTACATGCAATAATTCATTTAAGGCTTCTTTTTTTTTTATGTTGTTGTTCTTACTCATTTATAATTGCTTTATACAAAGGGCGCACATCCCCCGTGCCTCCTCCACCCACACTGCAAACGCATAACACATGGGTACGTATAAACAGGCATGCACACGGGGACCCCCAAATCCAAACAAGCTGTGCATCCGCGAGCTGGTACCCACAGCAGCCTCCTGCCCTGTCTGCCACGGGCATCTCGGGCCGCCTTTTCCAGGCACAACGCCATGGGTGAGGAGTTGAAGCTCCTGGGGAGCAGGAGCTTGGGACTATCCGCACAATGCTGGGAAAGCCACCTCGATGCCCATGCTCCAAGCCAAGATGCTAGCATGACTAATGCACTCATCATTGCTGGGAGCTGCACATCCCTCTGGGAGTTTAGAATGAACTCTCACCCCTCAGAAAAGTGGCTTACAAACACAACTCTGGGGAAAATACGGTAAGCCAGTTATTTGCCTTTCCTTAATTTTAAGAAGCCACCCCTGCTGCCACCTATCATGTTCATGCACCTCTCCCTTTGCCAGACCAATTGGAAGCTACTCTGAATCTATTTCTCAGGGTCAAGTCACCAGGAGTGTTGCAGGGAGGGATGCATCTGTCTGCTTGCTCCTGTGGCATTTGGCCCTCAAGTAAACTCCCCTAGTCCTCATGCTGGTGCACTGGGGTTCCTTACCCTGCCCCTTCCAAAAGCTGCCAGAGGAGAGAGGAGGAGGAAGATGAAGGCAGCTCTGGGCATACTGCAAACCCCATGTGCTCTGAAGGGGAGTGAGCTGGCGAGGAAGACTCTGAAATCAGAGCTCCGAGTCACCGCATTTCAAAGCAGGTTGCATTAGCATATACTGCAACTAATGCCTGCTTCCAGATTCCAGTTTAGGGGAAAAAGAAGAAAGGAGAAAAAAAAAAACAACCCACAACTCAATAAACAGGGATAAATGAATGCAAAAAAAGCAGCTCTGTTTGTTGTGCAACCAGCTAATTAGCACATATTGGATTTGAGCTTTATTAGCTTTTTCCCAGCATCTTCTTTTGGGTTGAGTTAATCAACGTTGCTTGAACTCATCCCACTAGAGCTGATTAGGGAGAGCAAACTCCTCTCCTGCCTCACCTCCCTAAAGACAGCAAAACCCTCTTGGGTTGTAAGGCAATTCCTCTCTGCCCCAACTGGCCATGCGTTTTGCACAGGGATCCAGCACTCGGCAGGACCTCACTGCAAACACGGCAGCTTCCCAGCAGCTTGGGTGTTTAATTAACTGATGGCCTAATGAGAGCAGATGGGCTCGGGTGGAAGTTTACTTAAATACTGAAACAGCAGTGCGTTATTTATTCCTCTTTCCCATGTCAGCTCGGCAGAAGGGACTCGCTCCCAGCTCGCTTGCAGCTGCGGTAGACTCTGCTATGGTCCAAGGTGCCCTGGCCACCTGCTCCATCTTCCTCACTGCAAGATTTCTATGTCCGTGAGATGTGGGTATCTGCAAGCCAGTCCAGTCAAGATCCTCAGGCACAACAGCCTCCTATTTTTCCCCCTCACTTATTCCTCTTGCACACATCCGTACTATAAACCAACACAAGGAGCTTCCAGGACATATCAGACATGGGGCTCCTTAATACGAAAGCCTCCTTTGCAGCAGCAAGGATGCAGTGATGAGATGAGGCTTGTTGATCCTTCCCAGGAAATTCCATTCCCCCCGCTGCAGCACTCAAGCTCTGTTTTTTTGGCAGGTTGGAGGCAGGAGGGGAGAGGTAGCAAAAGGGAGGGAATGGAAACTGCAGAAGACATTGCTCGCAAGGCAAATTATAATGATCACGTTCAATTTCCACAGATGTGGTTCATGACCACTGGCAGCTGGAAAATCTTGCAATTGCAACGAACAGGCCCTTAAAATTAAGGACATGCTGTATTTTTGCTCATGCAGGCTTGCAATGCTGTCAACTCACAAGAGTGGCAGGACAGATTAACACTTGGATGAGTAAGAGCCAGGGAAAGTCATATATGGCTGCCTCTGTCCTGTAAACCTGCTAGGAAACCTTGTCTCTCTCTTGGTTTATAAGAGTGCCCAGCATTTTCCCCTAGTTGCTGGAAACAAAGCCCTATCCTTCAAGCATGTTGCATTCTTCTGGCAAGCTCCAGTTGTCCTCGAGAAGTCCAGCTGGGCAGCTTGCTCCAGAGTCAGCACCGCAGCTTCTCGCCGGGCAGCCCAGGGAAGGTACCACCTTCCTGCAGGGCTCTGAGCAGCTGAGACCTTCCTAGGAGGAGAGTCTTCAGCCCAGCTTGACCTGCACAATCAGTCTCTAAAATGAACACTGGGAAGAAAGCCAAAATCATCCAAGGGGGAACTAAGAGAGCCCCCAGAGCAGACATAGCCAAAGTGTACAAACAGGGAGGGCCAGATGAAGAGGAGAAGAGAGACAAAGGCGTTCAGCACATATAGATTTTTGCTTTTGCTTTGATACCATTCCCAGATTCTCCTATGCTAAAGCCCATAAAAGCTCTGCTACACAGTGCTAATATTTTATGGATCTGGCCTTGCTATTTCTTTTTGGCAAAAACTGTCTGGAAGACATAGAAAAGCCACTGGCACTTTTTTTTTTTTTTTTTTTTAAAGAAATGTAAACAACGGCCAGCATTTACCTTCCCTAGGCATTTTAATCCCACATCGTTCCTGCCAGAGGGTGTGCACACAAGACTGAAGAACCACAGGAACATCTTCCTTGACTGTTTTTAAATCAACCCCTGCAGTTTGTCCAGGTTACATCACCTTGCTCTCCAAGCAAGCGAGGTAACACCTGGGGTTAAGGATTCTTAGGCTGGAGAAAGTCAAAAGCACAGCCCTGGCTCCTCGGCCTTCCAAGAACTGCTTCCGCTCAGGATCTGGCCCTGGGACACCATAATGAGGTGCTGAGGAGAAATGCTTGGGACTGTGGCCAGACAACCGAACATGCCCAGAGCTCATCGAGTGACCTTCCCTCACACTGGTCTCCTCATTCTCACCAGCCACTGCAGCCCCCCACCATGCCTGGTGGCCTCTGCATCTACAAGGCATCCTTCATTCTTCTTTCAATATGTTGTCCCCAACCTACCTCTACTACCAAACACAGAGGTGCTGATTGTCACAAGACCCCAAGACA